CTTATGGCATCTAATTAAAAGAGTCTATACCATAGCACAGTACTTAACCAAATGAAGTTACCTTGCTGGTTTTCTGTAAACTTGAACATTTCCAAATTCTAAACATCGATATTTTGCATATAAACAAAAAAATTCTGTCTATACTCCCCTGTACCAAGTATATATTTCCAAGGAAACCATGCATATATAATCCATGACAACGAGTAAAAGAAGATATGTATAGATAATACAAGAGCATTCAATCACAATTCACAGGAACTATGCATTTGTGTGCTTCTAAGACTCAATCGGAACTATATACTCGATAAGAAAGTAGGCAGTAACCAGGGATACTTTACAGAAGACATGCATAATAATCCAAGACCATTCAATCACAAATCACAAATATTAATCACAATTCACAGGAACTATGCATTGTGGACTTCTAACATTCAATTAGAACTATATACAGGATAAGAAAGTAGGCAGTAGGCACTAGCCAGAGATACTTTACAGAAGACATGCACGATCATCCAAGACCATTCAATCAAAAATCGTAGGAACTATGCATTCGTATGCTAACCTCATGATTTGTTGTTCTTTGTGACCAGTTAGAATCTATTTTCAAAACAATGAACATCAAGAACTATTGCTGGGAGAACTTGAATCCATTTAATAGGGAGCAGAAGGGCAACAAGCATTTGCAGATAGACTGGGCACAATAATTATGTAATCAGAATTAGCAATATGGATGCACCATATTTAGATTTCAGAAGGCAGGACATAATACAACTTTGCAGTAAACATCTTACTCCCATCATGTATATATTTCCATCTCTGAACATGAATGTTTAAAATTTCAAACACTGATATTTAAAAGCCAAATGAGATCCTTCATGTCTATTTTTCCTTCCACCATGTACATATTTCAAAGGCCAACCCAACTTCCTACCTAAAATAATATGACAGGTTCTTGCTCCCATTACAATTTTGCTAGGAGACTGAGTAACTAGAGTATTGTGCCTTTAGCAGCAACAGCAGAAAGTTTACTCTGAATACAAAGAGTCTAAAAAACTTTAGATTTGTCACCATCTCCAAATGGCCGCCACATCTTCCCAAGTTAAATCCCTCAAGGCCACACCCTCTAATCTCAGAAGTTGCAAATAACTAGAACAGATTGGGAAACACACAATTAGCTAGCATCTTCCTAACTTTAAAAGATTGGAAGTTTCTGAGAAATTTGTTGGTACTGCCACTTAACAAGACAACATGGAGAAGAAGTTGCTGGCGTTGCTGCAACTTAACCAAACATGCATTGGTCCAGGATAAAAATAAGTTCCTCAACCGGATGTTGCATGGATCTCGAAGGGACCCAGACTTGTGCAGCGCCACATAAGATTCCTCATCTACAATGAAAGGATTCCGCATGCCAAGTTCAATCAATCCTCCTAAGAAGACGAAGCAATTTGGATCATAACAAGGTGAAGCAATACGTAGCCAACATAAAGACAGTCAAGAAGGCAATCCAGCAAGCCTCGAAGAGTCTCAAATGCATTGATCAATCTAGAAGCTGGCAACAACGGAGACATGAGGCTGCATCTTGAAGCTACACGACTTGAACTGGACAATGTAGAGGAACTACAAGTCCAGAACATTTTCCTACAATGTCCATCGAATTTCTGTTTAGGAAACCTCCATACCAAACGTTTATGCTCAGGGTCATCCTCAATACCATCTAAATCGACCTCAATACCAACTTATGTTTACAACTTGAAGTGAGATCGGGACCTGTAAGTAGAACGTGAATAGAATCTTCAGGGTTAGTCGACTGTGATATAAGATACCAATCCAGAAGTGAGCATTGTTGCATTCCCCCATAAGATTCATTTTAGAAATTAAGTTGACAGAATACTATTCAGCTCCTTTTAGGATTCGTTTCAAGATTTCTAGTTCACCAAATACTGCCACGGATGAGGAATCTGGAGAAGAACAACAACAACTGTAATAAGTAAAACTGATAGACCCTCTTAATTATAAGGTGAAAACGGACCCAACTTCTAGATTGGAAAGAAACTGACAAGGGAATTTATCCACCAACTGGGTTCACCAAATTGAAAATTCGTTAGAAAAGGATAAAGAAAGGGATCAAATTCTCTACCATCAAATCTCTAATCGATTCAGGCAGATATTATGCACATACTATATTCAGATTATATCCAGTAAGAAGCTTTTCCTCTCTTTAGAAATCTCCGAAAGTTGGATGATTGAATATACTTACAGGTGAAACAATTGCTCGAGTGTCATAGGTCTTAGGACTCCAAATAGTTAAAGCGAGTAGTCTAACATATCAGAAGCAGATATCCTGACCTCGATATCATCAATATCTACTCAACCCTCTCAAACATATTAACGTCAGAAAGAAAACATTACCAAATCCAACAACACCAACCAAGGCAAAACATGCAGGACACATGCTGCAACAGAGCAAATGAACTTTGTTCATCTTCACATTCTGGGGCATCAAATGCTACTGAATTAGAAGTTCCAATAATTCCTGGACTCCAGCACGCATACACAATTTACCAAGGCTGTGACTTTGCAACATGGTTTCACTGCTACTGTTTTTCTTTCTTTTTGTTTGTTAATCCTCTGTTACCTGCTAGTAGAGAATTTAAACTACAAAAACATAGAGGTTCAGAAATCCTAGCAACAAATGCATGCCCGACTATAGTAGTATTCGGCACGTAAGGGATAGTTCTGCAATTCAAATCCGATTATATGAGGGACATGCAAATATTCAATCTTCAGATAATCCAAGTTCTAACATGATCCCTGAATCACACATGTAAAATTAACATACATGTAAATATAACTTGAAAAACAATCTTCAATGAAGCCAAACCATCAATGAAAAATTACAGCAACAAAAGGTAGTTCTTTGGGCTCAGTAAAGAATGCCAGTACACCCATAAAGCACATGAAGATCCCAATCAAAGTCAAGTTTTTCAAGTAATTGAACCTCTAGTAATTTTTGCTACTTGCAACACACAAGGAGCACTTCCGCCACACACTTCCACAAATTATATTTATCCTTTCGTCGATCAATGATAATGGCACTTGACAGAAAAAAGTAATATTACTTCAGAACCACAAACGGAGAACAAAAATGATTTTATCCTTTTTGCTGCTAATTCCTAGTTCACTACTTTCTTTTAAGGAAGCTAACATCGAAACTGTATGGTAGGGAAAGGAAGTCGTTCAAGAAGTCATCGTGTTACTTGGAGATAATTCGTGTTTCTTCCGCCACCAGACAGTCACTAGAATGAATAACTAATCATAATCGGACCTGACTTTCATATAGGCATTAAACTGACATGGACAAGGTACTTTCTTGATTTTATCTACGGTGAAATTCATTCTCAAGTTCCCTTCTAGAACTATATAAAGTACTCCCTGCTAGCAAGATATTGTCACAACTAATGAATCTGAAGTGGAGTAGGAAGGCAACTGGAATGAGTAACTAATCATCATCTTATTAAAAGGGTTTCTTGGAGCTATTTGTTGGACACATTGTAAGGGTTTCAACTTGCAGAAAACAGTAGTACCTTAATAAACCAAAGGAACTAAGGGGAAACCGAAGGTAACGACAAATCGAAAATCATATCAGATCAAGATCAAGCAACAACACAGACCTTCCAGTCAGATGAAACAAAAACCATGAACTATCATGTAATCATTGGATTTTGTAGCGAGACACTGACACTGAAGATATCTTCCTAAGTTCACGAAAATCTGACGTGGAACAGAAGGGCAACTAGATGAAGTAGGTTGATCCTCATAATTATAAGGCGAAAGAAGACCGACATTTTAGATTAGCAGCAACCTTACATGACTTGAGTATTTCTGGATGATTCAATAATGTTACAAACAACCAGAGCATTCGAATCTTTTTCTCAAGTTCTCTTCACGAATTCATAAAAAACGTTAATGCATCACAATTGATGCACATTGAGGGGGAGCTGAAGGGCAACTTTAATGAGTACATCTGTACATGATGACTCAATAATAAGGCAAAACTGGACGGAACTTTCAGATCAACAGTGAACAAACAGGTATAGCATATTTTTTTAGGTGTACGGACTTCCTAGAAAAGTAACTATATATTAGTATTAAGTTTAAAAGTCTCACCTAAGACTGATTCCACACAAGACTTTCAGCTTTCAGAATGTTATCGTGATTGAAGGGAGCAAAAGGCAACTTGAATCAGCCAATGATCATCTCAATATGTGGCAACTTGAATGAGTTGATGATCATGAAATCTTACTTTCTCAAACAGTAAGGGCGCGCCAAGAATTTTAAGAGTTGACAATTGCATAACTAAGGCAACTAGAATGAGTAACTAATCATTTCACTATAATAAGAACCAGAACAAACTTTGAGATAACCATTTAACTGAATGACTATGATGTATTGCTCACTGCAAGTCCCCTTCTACTGCTCCATGAGAATTAATCATCAATGGTATTTTCTGGGTCTATCTATCTAGTACTCATTCTCAAGTTCCATTCTAGGACTCCCTATTGTACTTTCTGTTTACAGATCACGTTCACAACTGAAGTTGAGCAGAAAGGCAATTGATATGAGTACTAATCACTTATTATAAGGCAACACCATCTCGACTTTCAGATAAGCTATGAACGTGGATTCATCAATGATGTGGTACTCATTCTCAAGTTCCCTTCTAGGACTCCATATCAAACTTTTCATTTATAGAACATGGACACAACTGAAGTAGAGCATAAGGGCAACTGAATGAGTACTAATCACTTATTATAAGGCAGCACCAACTCGACTTTCAGATAAGCAATGAACGTGGATTCATCAATGATGTAGTACTCATTCTCAAGTTCCCTTCTAGGACTCCATATCAAACTTTTCATTTATAGAACATGGTCACAACTGAAGTAGAGCAGAAGGGCAACTGAAATGAGTACTAATCACTTATTATAAGGCAACACCAACTCGACTTTCAGATAAACAATGAACGTGGATTCATCAATGATGTAGTACTCATTCTCAAGTTCCCTTATAGGACTCCATATCAAACTTTTCATTTATAGAACATGGTCACAACTGAAGTAGAGCAGAAGGGAAACTGAAATGAGTACTAATCACTTATTATAAGGCAGCACCAACTCAACTTTCATATAAGCATTGAACGGACATAGACTATGTTTTTTTGGATTCATGTACTCATTCTCAAGTTCTCTTCTAGGAATCCATATACTATTTTCTGTTCAGAACAGGGGGGCAACTGAAGTGGAGTAGAAGGGCAACTAGAATAAGGCAATCACTTGTTATAAGCAATATCAAATCAGCTTTCAGATAAACATTGAACTGACATTGACTAGATATTTGATGGGTTTATCTATGATGTAGTAATCATTTTCAAGTTTGCTTCTAGAACTCCACAAAGGAATTCCCATTTATGAAACACTATCGTGACTGATGAACCTGAAGTGGGGCAAAAGGGCAACAGGAGCGAGTAACTAATCATCTTAATCCAAGACAAAAAACCATACCCAATTTCATACAAGCATCAAAGACATGTACCCTATATTTTCTGGACCTATCTATCATATAGAAAGGATTGAGCAAACACTGTCTAGCCACACCCACAATTTGATCATGATAGTCCAGAAGTACAGGGCAGTAGGACAGCAAGACAAAGCATCATTGAACAAGCAATAAGGAGTAACTGAAACAAACGGCATGCACATCCATTCAAATTCTTAACATAAAAAAAAGGGCAGGAGAACAATACTAGAGAAAGATTGGTCCAGCCCAGATCGCGCCATGTTTCCGGAAACACGCAAAAACTCATCCTGTAAGGGAGCGACGACCACGAGTACCAAAAAACCCTAACCCGCGCTAATCATGTCGAAACCCTAACGAAATTCCATGGACTGTGGGTTGAACGGAAAAATCCTTTCTCGGCGCCCGAGATTCGGCAGATTAAGAAGAAAGTAACATCGGGATTCCGAATTTTCCGAAAGAGGCACAAAAGGAAATCAGGCAAGGGAATTACCAAACTGAAAATCTCCGACGCAAAGCAGACATTATCAACGAAACGCGCTTAACGAACTATCGAACCCCAAATCTCCACTCCACCGCCTCCAGACGAGCCCTCTCAAAACTCCAATCCAGATTTTAGAGTAGAGTGACCGTTGCAGAAGGGCGGGCAACGATGTTATTAATAGTGCAGAGGTACCGCCTCATAATATGATTAACGCGGGTAAAACGCGGAGTAGAGTAAATTACTACCGTGCCCTTCACTTATCTTCGTTACTGCAAACAATGAGCATCTATTTCCCCAAAATGCCCTTATTTTTAGGCTCCAAAATGTTTAATTCTGACGTGGAGAGAAAGCGTTTAATTGGGCCGTCACCGTCAGGACTTAGACGCCCGATGGGCTACTGGAGTTTCCATTTGGGCCCAAACCAATTAATTGTCTATTTTTATAATAATAAATAAATATTATATAATTCTATCCGGAGTAGCTTACTGCTGTAACATATATTTTGGTCCTTATCGAGTTGTGCTGGGCCCCAGCCCAACCAAGCTCGCTCGCTATCTCACTTCCGTCTCCTCTTCTCTCCGACTGTTAATTCAGTTCGGAACTCTCAAGTCTCAACGCCTTCCCTCTCTTCCCAAAACTCTGCTCTGTCTCTGTCTCTGCTTCAAAGGTTCCTTCCGGCTTGACTTTCAACTTGCCGGCAGGCGGCAACCATGGCATCAACGTCGTCTCCCTGCGTCAAACCCAACACTGTAGCTACGGCTGCACGTATTCCGTCTCAACCGCCGGACTCAGCTCAACCTCAGAGGCTCTCCTTCCCTATCGTTTCCCGCCCTTCCCTCTCCCTCTCCGTCCGACCTACATTCTCTGGTTTTCAGGTCACTCACTCTCCTTCGCCTTTCTTACTGGAAAAATTCAATTATGCTTGGTCAACATTAATTGGGCTGGGGATTCATGAATTCAATTGGGTAGCTTCCCAATTTGTTCCCCTCAGCGATGGATTCATGAATTCAATTGAGTAGATTCCCTATTTCTTCCCTTCAACGATCATGAATTGCCGCTGGTGGATTTCGTTCTTTCGAGAAAGAAAGATGTTTCCTTTCTGTTTTCCTGAAATTGAACTTTTATTCTTGACATGGCATTTTTATTGAGCATAGATGGCAATGTTGAACCAAAGGGAGGGCTTTAATACCAATATGCTGGATATACATTGCATTAGCTATCAACTTATAGAGCGGAGTTGAATGCTTTTGTATCTGCCCAGTACTCAAAGATCGTAATTTTTTGTTAAGTATGCATTTTTTTAGTCAAGGTTTGACAGGGTAGAAGCCTGGAAGGGGTTACCTACTTACCTTTGGTAGCTAGTTTAGGTTGCTACCCTTGCAGCTGAAGACTAGAGCCATCGAAATCTGTATTAGTATTGCTACCTGCCCCCAATTGTTGAAATAATGTAGCAAGTCGAAATGCTAGTGGCTTGTTCGTATTGTGGCATGATCATGTTGGGTTCTTTATGCAGTGGCCCAGCAGGAAGCAGTCTTCTGTAACAAAAGTGCACGCACAAGCGAATAAGGTATTTGTTGTGAACTTCTTGCAAGATTGTGTATACTTAATTTAGCTACACCTGAGGCACTGGTTGATTCACCTATTGCTGCTGCTGCTGCTTAAACTCCAGTTATCTGCTGAGGAATCTTCGAATTCATCTCCTCCGGCAGACAGCAAACGTGAAGGTAGAATTCCAGATTCAGCAACAGTGGCAGAGTGCATGGCTCAAGTAGCAGATCTTGTCAAGTAAATCCCTGTCAACTTGGCTGGCTGCTTATTTACAGGTTCACATTGCACTGCAAGCAATTGCATAAGTTAATGTGGGGTATAATTCGCAGGCTTGTGGATAAGAGAGATATTGCAGAGCTGAAATTGAAGCAAATGGACTTTGAACTTATTATAAGGAAAAAACTGGTTTTGCCACCTGCTGCTCCTTTCACGATGATGCAATCACCATATCCACAAGCCATGGCACCACCACCACAGCCACAACCAACAGCTTCTCCTGCTCCTGCAGCTCCAGCTTCAGCACCTAGCTCGCCTCCTGCTGCAAAGACTAACCCTTCTTCTCATCCACCGCTAAAGAGTCCAATGGCTGGCACCTTTTATCGCTGCCCGGGCCCAGGCGAACCACCATTTGTGAAGGTAAACACATATTATTGGTTACAGCTTATGCTCTGAGACACGGACACACGTTTTTGCCAGATCACTTTGGTATAGAAAATTGTGGTCGTCTTTTACAGGTAGGAGACAAGGTGCAGAAAGGTCAGGCCCTTTGCATCATCGAGGCCATGAAGTTGATGAATGAAATTGAAGTATGTATTTCCTTTTGTCATGATACGGATCTCCTTTGGTACAGGAAGTGTATTTGTTAATGTTCACATATCTGTCTACTTATTCAACAGGCTGATAAGTCTGGAACAATAGCTGAAATTCTGCTTGAAGATGGAAAACCAGTTAGCTTGGACACGGTAAATCACATTAACACCCTCTTTCTCACCATCAGACAAACTTCAATACCATCTTAGGTCAATTTCTAAAAGCTTTTGTTTCCCCGGCTCTGTGTTGCAGCCTTTGTTCGTAATTGTCCCATGAAGGACAGCTGATGAACTTCTCACCTGTCCGTGGCAAGCAGCACTGAAGAAACTTTTCAGAAGTTGAACTTTCCAAGTCAGACTCTGAGCTTGCAGCTTGTAGTATAAGCCTGTTTTCGATCAATGTATGGGAAACTTGTTTCCTGTTGGAAATGTACTAGAAGCCTCGGAAGATTTTATCTAAGAACAATAGTTTTTGGAGTGAAATTTTGGTAATTTATCATGTAGCATAAGGCTCTTCTTTTTTCAGTTGTGAACTAGAGTTTTGAAACAGTTTTTCATGTGTACACTATGATAGCTTCTTATTGCAAAATCAGTAGAGATTGTAAAAAAAAATCAGTAGAGACAAGGGAAGAAAAACAGATCTTAAACTTTAAATCAAATGCCCTTTAAAGTGACACCTTCAACTGATGCTGCTGGTGAAAGCACTATCGAATTTGCTGCATCAAGATCCATTCTTTTGTTTACTGTCCCAACTAGCACCTTGTGGGGGCAGAGTGGCTCTTACCACCTTCCATAGCCATAGGTTGCTAGTTTGAAACAGCTTACACAACTCAAGCTTTTCCACCTAATTTGATGAGTATGTCAACTATTTTAGGTCAAAAGCTTGAAGTTCATTGACAACAATTAAGTAGATGATTTGCTATAAATATTTTTCGATCTATCACTGCTAATATACGAACGACTGTACCTTATCAAAAAAAATATATGAACGACGGTAGTCTGTACCTTAATTAATGATACATAGGTTTTTGTCTTCAAACAAATCCTCCTCCTAAGATTAAGTAGAAGATTAGGAAGAGAAATGGAATCATCAAAGAAATATTTGAGGGAAAGGAGAGTGTTATAAACGCGCTGCTACGGATAGGGAAATCGCCGGAATCGATAAAACAAGAATACGAAAGCGAAAATCGAAAACACAGACACACGATTTACGTGGTTCACTAACACTATGTGTGTTAGCTACGTCCACGGGCGAGAGAGAGTCAGTTTCACTATATCGAGGAGATTACAGATTACAGAGGAGTATGAGAATTATTTATAGTACTTTTCCATGTGGATCTAAACCTAATCCGATTCAAGTCGGCTGATAGTCCGATTCAAGTCACATCAACAGAGAGGAAAGCAAGTGGTCGGCTAGAAATTGTGGGGCGTTGGAGAGAAATGCTGGAAGCCTGGAAGTTCTAATTGTGTGAGTGGGAAGGTGTTAAGTGAAGTTGGCCGTTGTTGGTAGTTAAGACTTGAGAGTTGAGATTGAGACCCAAAAACAGGGCAACGTGTGAGAGACTTGTGAAACGAGGCGAATAATTAATTCCCACAATTCAATTCATCAATTTGCCACTTTTCTTCCTTCTTCCTCTCTCTCTGGTTACTACTACATTGATAGTATCGAAACTCTGCCTTTGAAAAACACTCCCAGACCCACGACGAGACGGCACAGCTCTGCTCCAAACAAAGACAAATCCAAAAACTTTACTTCGTCCCATTGTCCGTCTGTCCAAGAGAACCATAACCCAGTTGGCGTTTCCTCTCTCTCGCCAACTTCGCCGCTCATTTCCTCCTTCGATCTCACCGCCGCATTTCCCTTACAAAACCCTTTCGATTCTTCTGAACTCCCTTCTCTGTATCTCTGCCATCTCAACTTGGCCGGACTGTTAATTCAGTTCGGATCTCGGCTGCTTCTTCATCCTCTGTTTGCTTGAAGGGAACCTCTTAGCTACCGCTCCCATGGCGTCGATCTCCGTTCCTTGCCCCAAAACCACCGTTGCTGCTTCTGCTGCTGCTGGGTTTCCCTCATCCCAAGCTGCTCCATTGGAATCCAACAGAATTGCCTTCCCTCGTGCTTCCAAGCCAGCTTCTTCTCTCTCCCTTGGATCCACATTCTCTGCTTTACAGGTCATTTTCCCATTTGAATTTTCCAATTCTTCTTGTCTTACTTATCACCACTTAGATACTGTTGCTGTAGCGTGGCTCCATTTCCCCTCTTCCCTCTTCATTTTCCTTAATTCCACCGTTGCAGTTTAGATTTCGGTGTTATTTAGGCCTATGTGATAGCAAATTTTTGCTCTTAATCCAATTTGCTGCATGTAGTTCTAGCCTTTTTGAATTGGATGGCTTAGTTTGGCTTTACTCTAAGCTCTTTGATGGATGCTTGGTGTTAGTCCAAGGCTTCAATTCAAGTCTGAGTTTGGTGGGTATTGATTTTTTGTTTTTTTGTTGTTGTCGTGTTCCAGTTGTCGGATGAAATGAGGATTGAACTGATTTTGATACCTTAAGCTAGCTTCTAGGTTCAGCTTTGATTTTGATGGGAGAGGTTTGGCCGTGTTTGGCAGGTGGGGATGTTTTCTAGGGGAGGGCTACATGCCTCTATGGCTATTAGCTAGTTCTCAGTTTAAGGATAGAAACTTGAAACAATTGAGTTACTTTGAAGAATTTGCTATTTTCTCTGATAACTACTAGTTGAAGAATTTGCTTGCCTCTATGAAGGTCCTTTGAAGTTTGAACCCATCAGAGTTTCCTGCTTACTGTTCTGTAGCTTAAAGCATCTGAATTTAGTTCTGGAGCTTGTTAGAGAATGTTTAGTTATCATTAGAATGCTGTTTCTCCAGTTTGTTGTTCATTGACATGATGTGAATGTTGTTTTATGTGCAGAGGCCTGGCCGGAGGGAATCTTTGGTATCAAAGGTGCAAGCTAAAGTAAGCCTGCTTGTTGCTAGTTTGTTCCTAAGAGTTGCACTTAATTTGCTTAAAATCAGCCATTCATCATGTGCTGGTCGAAAATTCCAGGTGACTGCCAAGGAATCGTTGAACAATACACCTTTGGTGGACACCAAATCTGATGATACCGCCCAATCCAATGGGAAAGCATTGACTACAGAACCCAGAATTCCAGATGTGGCATCGATTTCAGAATTCATGGCCCAAGTTTCACACTTGGTCAAGTAAGTAGAGTCCCATGCAAATGGTGGAAGGAAAGTTGCTTCCTTCTATATTTGCTGGAACTAATGGCCCTTCCAATGTGCAGACTTGTGGATTCGAGAGACATTGTGGAGTTGAAACTAAAGCAATTGGACTGCGAGATAGAGATAAGGAAAAAGGAGGCTCTCCCACAGCCGCCAGTTCCTGCTGCTTCTCCTTTCATGATGATGCAGTCTCCTTATCCACAGGCCATGCCACAACAACCAGCAGCTGCTCCCTCCGCTCCTGCTGCAGCTTCTGCATCATCAGTACCTGCCTTGCCTCCTCCAGCTGCAAAGCCTGCTTCATCTCATCATCAATTGAAGTGTCCTATGGCTGGCACCTTTTACCGGTCTCCAGCCCCAGGTGAACCGGCATTTGTCAAGGTAAATTAGTTATCTTTGGCTGGACACTTTGAAGATTGTGTCGTAATGAGGGTTTTGCCTTAACCATCAACGTGCGTTTGACATAGGTGGGAGATAAGGTACAGAAAGGACAGGTTCTTTGCATCATTGAGGCCATGAAACTGATGAATGAAATCGAGGTATGTTTGTCCTGCTCGTCAATCATTGTAGTTCATGGCACCTGGGAAATGCCCGTTGCCTAACACTGATCATACCGATTTTCCCCCGCTTCACAGGCTGATCAGTCTGGAACCATAACTGAAATTTTGGTGGATGATGGGAAACCAGTTAGTGTTGACCTGGTAATCACACACCCTCTCTTCTTCTTTCTCGGTAGTATTGCCTGTCTAAGATCAGATTCTAAAGCCTCTCGTTGGTCGAATTATGTTTGCAGCCTTTGTTCGCGATTGCTCCATAAGCAACACCGGAAAGAACTTCCAGCTTGGCCTGCAGTAGACATGCGAGGCAGCCACCGCCGTCCCATAAACAGAAAAGCAAAAAAAAAAAAAAAGAACACTATCTTGTTTGAAGCTTGAGAATTGTAATGTGCAATAGAATAATCGAAACCTTATTTCGGGGTTTCTTATGAAAAGTCGCTGTTGAAACACTTTGGAAACTGATTTTTAGCTGGTAATGTAGCAGACGCCTCACAAAAGGGCTTTATTTGAAGTGTAAGGTGTCCGTTCGTTTCTCCTGTGAAATTTTTTGTGTAATAACTAATATGTAGACAAGTTTTGAAGTTGTGAAAAACAATAGCCATGCCAACCCGTTTTAATGTTGTATCAAATTTAACCTGCTGATTTCTTATGTACACCTTTTCCAGTTCAAATAATACAATTGTTCTTGCAACAAGTTCAATATTCAACTCCAACAGCAATACAGTCGAATCAAGTAACAAAAACACTAGGTTTATGCCATTACTCGACTGCTCCTGTGCTCTTTCGATGCACATTCTCCTACCCGTCTTCAGAGTGCACTCTATTATACTAATCAGACTGCTCGTTCAATGACAAACGAGGTTTTTTATCTATCCTCTGCGAATTTACCTCTTTCCAGTTTCTTCTTTTGGCTCCACGAATTGCTGCAGAATCTCTTGCTATCTGGGAGAAGATCAGTGCTTTCTCATTTACCAGCAACCAATACCAGTAATCAAATCCTTGACTTCCATTTCGAGAAAAGAATCGGTAGTTAAAACTGCTCTGGACAAAAAATTACAAGATGGAAACAGCAGCAGAAAGCTACAGCTACAAGTTACAAACTACTCTGAAGAAGGAACAATCTTCATGCTTCTTCATGCTTTCTGAGCATTCCCACCTAAAAATCCCTATTCCTTTCTCTTCTCCTGTCATTCTACAATAAAGATCTGTCCCACCTATAGCTCTATTCCCTGTCGCCAACTAAACTTCATGTACACTGGTTAGCATATATATGCATATGCTATTTCGTCGTATTTACAATACCTATTCATCAGAATCATCGCTGTCTGCCTGCTGATCTGTTCCCTCTCGTGCTGCTACCAGTTAACCTCCTGCCTCCACCCATCCAGTCTGCATCGTCATAATCATCGTCGTCGTCCATGTCATCGGCCAACGTACGCCCAATTTTCTTCCTGGGAGTTGTCCGCTTCCTGACCGCACTGCCACCGGTCAAGTTTGCATCATCATCATACATGTCTTCGGCAGCTGGCGCTCCTCGTCCGGGTTTCTTCCTGGGAGTCGGGCGCTTCCTCTTGATGTTTGCTGTGTAAGTTGCATAATCCACTGTGTCTTCCTTCAGCGCATTTTTTAAGTCCTGTTTTTTGACAAAGTAAGCAAGCATTAAAAGAGCCAGTTCCCATTACAAAAACGGAAGACAGAGAAACTACCCAACACACGAGCGGGACACAAATTCTGTAAGCCTACTTTTGGTGTACCTGATATCGCTGTACCAGATCCTGATACGTTGTGGGCAAGCTAGTCCGGATATCACTTACATCAAAAGGAACAGTCTGCCTGGATAGATTCTCTCCAGGTTTTGGGGGTTCGTTTGGTAAAAAGGCCTAGTTCAATAAACATAATAAATCGATCATAACTAGCAAACTTTTAATGATGATAACAAATGAAAAAACATTTACCTGACAGCGGGAGTCATTCAGGCCATACACAATCTTTAGGTGCCTCTTCAGCTTCAGAAGAAGCTGCAAAGCAGTGGCAGCGAGACAATCGACCTGTTTCAACCACAGGAACTGAGATTCAGAACGGCAAGCACTTCCTATCTTGCCTCAAATTATGCTATATTTCTTTCCTAACACGCAGGCATATGGTTATTGTACACTAGTGATTTACCTGGATTCTGTTTATATCATCCTGAGAGAGGCTGCAACGTTCAACTATGTTCATATAGCCTGTCGTATTTGGATCACTTGAAGTGGAGACTGAGTGACCAGGTGGCTGGTCTTTAAACGTTCCATTCAAATCGAAATTTCTCGAAGGACTGGACTGTGCTCCATAAACTGGCTCTTCTTCCTTAGCCATGTCATTCAAGTCCATTGAGCCCACTTGAATACTGAGTTGAGTTCCTTCTTCCTGAAGTAACCCATTCTGATGGCAAGCTTTCCGTGCAGCTCTTTGTGTCAGATGCAATACTAGCCCCTTCATATTTGCCTCAAGTGCCCCAACCCTAACTTGGATCACCCGATTTATAGAATAAATGAGATACAGTGGTTCATCCGGAACAGTGAATGGCAATAGAGCAAGCACTTCGGTACAGTGCCTGCGAAAAAAGGAACCCAAAATTATTAACATTGTTAAAGATTTGCAGACCTAATACCAAAGGACCAGAAACACTGAAGGACACTTACAGTAGAAAGCCAATCACTGAATCACTACGGACTGGATTATCAAATTTGCGCACAATTGAAGACATGAATTTGTTTCTTGAGACACGGTTCCCACGAATAAGCTTGTAGATCCGAGACACTCCGAGCCTAGCCTGAGTCAGAGCACCAGTTTCATACTTTCCTTTGGAATTCCCAGTTGACTTAGGTGGGAGCCTTTGGTTTGGTTTTTCATTAGAGGTACTAGAGAGAGCATGCATGAATGTATACGATAGCTGAAGACCATCGCCTAATCGACTTTCAAAGAAGGCTGGGTACCTGAAAAAGTGATACACTGATTTTGAGTTGCTCATGTAAAATATAAGACGAATATATTGCAAAAGCAGGAGAAAAAAGAGTCCGAACAACATACTTCTCATTCATATTCATCAATAGATGATGTGCCAACTTCGAGTTCGACTCTAACGGGTCGGATTCAAGTGCTATGAGGTACGGAACACAAGTAATAGGGTGAACTAGACCTTGCCTGAGCACCACCTCGACAATCTGCATGGATAAAAAAATCAAATATGGGAAACTCAAGCATCCAAGAGCAGCAAAGTTACAGTGCATGAGAACCTACTCCCAATTACTAAATTTTAGGTTCCTGGCTTTGTCCCTTCATTTTAAATGATGAAACCAGTTCTTGTATTAAGCATCTAGCACCGAAACTTAATATAGGACCGATTTTCCCACCTTGAGTGCAGTCTGGCGAACTTCCTCATTGAAATCTAAGCTCCTCCCCAAGATGTGATCCCAATATAACTGGATAATCCCACCACAGATGTTGGTATCCCCAGCACCTGCAGCGACAGGTACCACCCTTTGACCAGCTCCAACCGAAGTTTGAGCATCATTACTGGCTTTATCAGTTTCCAATTGGCTTTCAGCATCCAGAAGATACTCATACACATTTTGCAGAGCTTGCATCTGGTAAATGTAACAATTCAGTTTCTAATCGAAAAAGAAGCACATGAAAGAGAGCATATATTACTACCTTGAGGCGAACATGAGAACTCGATGACAAAGTTGCTCCCAATATTTTCCCAATGTCCTTCTCCAGCATGTATTCAGGCCTAGCAATTAGGATAAATCCTAAAGCCTACGTAAACAATGCAAATATAGGTGAAGAGCCTTAAATTTTAAGCTGTTTCAGAGAAGTGGGAGCACAAGGCATACGCATACCTGCAAAGATCTGACTTTCACACTGAAGTCGTCCATTATGAGGTATTTCTTGAACAAGCTGATACTACTTCCAACATCAATGTTTTTGCTACTTGACCCACTAATCAATGGATTTCCATATCGAATAAGCAACCCAAGGCAGAATAGAGAACGCCCTATCAACTGCAGAAAAAGATAAGGTTAATTCGTTTTGTAGCACAGCACATCCGAAGCAAGTACAAAATGTAATGGATGTTTCCTGATTAGGTGTTAGGAAACACAGCATTAGTAAATGTAAGTCCCCATCCACAAGGAACAGAAAGCTTAAACATTGGACTATCATGCTTATTGGTATCTCAGAAGTTAATAAGTACCAAACTTTGCTAAATCCATCAACCTGTTTGTTCTCAATTGTTTGAGCATCAAGGCGCCTGAAGAAAACCTGAATGAGGAATTCAACAACACTAGCCCCTTTTCCAGAAACCTTACTCAATGTACACAGACACCTGCAAGTAGCGAAGAATTTAACTATCTACATTTAAAATTAAGAAAAGCATCATGCACATCTGCAATACAAAGTAGAAACACACAACAGTATTGATATGCAAAGACCATGTCAAGAAGAAATGCTTAGCCCCACAGGATTAAAAATTTTGGGCTCAAAACAATGAACTTATCAATATAAAGTTGCTGCATATACAAACGTGGTTATACAGGGTAATAATACACAATTTCAAATGGCTTTTGAAACTTTAATTACAAGCATGTTTTCAAAAGCACGTCGTAAATAGACAATTAGATTTAACTAGCTGCAAAAAATGACAGCAGGAGATAAATTCTTGAAAATGTAGAAGTCCCTCAATGATGAATTAAAGGAGACCAGCTTCTTGCAAAAAGTAAATACCATCTTTTATCATCCATATCGACAGCCAAATCAATTCACAAGGCATGCAAAGGTCAGCACAAAGCAAATGAAATCAAACAATAAATATTCATACTATACACCATCAAAAGTTGATAAAAAACATGAATGTGTCCATTATGAGAAGAAAGCAACTAGATGAAATTACTTGATGCAAGCATGCACCACTGTCAAAAATGAGTGTCGCACGATCATTTGTTTCAAGTCTTGTTCGAGTTCTTCAACAATACTTGATGTCAACTTCCGTATCAAGGGAAGTACTGAGTCAATTATGAAGATTATACTCTCCAGAAACTGTGCAACAACTCGGTTATCGACCTGAACACAAACAGAAGCAATATCAGCTATTACCCCAATGGTTGGAGGCACTGAGTTAGTTATTGCAGTGACTTAATCTCAAATTCAGTTCTGTTTTGTTTCCAATAACTAAGTATTATTCTGTTGCTTGATGCCAAATCAGAAGCTTAAATGTCTGTAATGAGCTTGCTTCCACACTTTTGACCCCAACTCTGCCGCGAAATAAAGTAGCGCAGTTATCCCTACTTGAGCATATCTATCTTTGCCAATGCATTAGGAAAGCCCAAAGTTTATCCAACCAGTAGGTTGCAGCACTTGATTAGCAAAGATTAGGCAATTGTATCGCACGTAAATAATTGTTCTTGTCTGATCCTTAAATCTTGAAAGGTGAATGTTCCATACATGATCTACAAAGTTGCCACTTGCCATCCCAGTTGACCTAAGTAGCTACCACCCTCAGATTGACAAACAGGTACAGCAGCCCCCATATGTCA